TGCCAGTGTAGAGGAGATGAACTCTATGTCTAGGTTCTTTTCCAACTCTAGGACATTGGGCCACTCTGAGAATTATTTTAGGAGCTCAGCATTTGATTCCACATTCTATAGATTGGTTGTATAGTGAAGTTTATGGTTTTTAATCATGGTATAATTCAACAAAATATAGAAATAGCCTCTGCTGTTACAAAATTTATGTTTTGTGATCACATACAAAGAAACCAAAAAGTCACCCTTGGATTATTACAATAGTTAATTGATCTCCCTCGGGAGAGCTCTACTCCCTGACCCTATCTATTCTTTTTTTTTTTTTTTTTTTTGCTTTTTGGTGAGGCAATTGGGGTTAAGTGACTTGCCCAGGGTCACACAGCTAGTAAGTGTCATGTGTCTGAGATGGGATTTGAACTCATAACCTTTTGACTTCAAGGCCAGAGCTCTATCCACCGTGCCACCTAGCTGCCCCCCCATCTATTCTTCTTAAACACTGCTGTGGGATTACTCTTCTAAAGCACCACTTTGAACACATTACGCCCTACCTCAAAAAACATTAATTATTCTCTATTGTCCACAGGATAAGGTTTAACCTGCTTAGCCTGGTATTTAAGGTTTTTTATTTTATTTTTTAATTTTTAAAATGTTTAAAATTTTTATTTTTTTAAATTAAAAAAAAATTTTTTTTGGCTAGGTAATGGGGTTAAGTGACTTGCCCAGGGTCACACAGCTAGTAAGTGTTATGTGTCTGAGGCCAGATTTGAACTCGGGTCCTCCTGAATCCAGGGCTGGCACCTAGCTGCCCCAAGGTTTTTTATAAATGCATCTTTCCCTACTCAACTATATGAACCCAAACTCTTTTTTTTTTTTTTGGTGAGGCAATTGGGGTTAAGTGACTTGCCCAGAGTCACACAGCTAGTGAGCGTTACATGTCTGAGGCCACATTTGAACTCAGGTCCTTCTGACTCCCGGGCCGATGTGCTATCCAGTGCGCCACCTAGCTGCCCCAAAACCAAACGCTTCTATTCATTTTCTCCAAGTATGCCTATGCTTACTTCAATTTCCCCTGCCTAGAATGCCTTTCTTGCCTCTCTCTACTTGTCTAGGTTACACACGTCCCTTAAGGCTCTGACATGGATGACTTACTTTGGGGAAAAAAAAAACTTTAACAGAGCTGATCTCAAGGACCCAGGTTTACAACCTCAACATCATCCTTAACTTTTCTCTCTCCCTTACCTCTTTATTTGATCATAATTCAAGGCCTATCAATTCTATCTCCACAATATATTATGTAATCCTTCCCCTTCATTCCCCTCACATCGCCACCACCCTTGTTTAGGCTCTCATCATCCCTTAGATGGATTACTACAGCTGCCTCATAAATGGGCTTTAGTCTCTCTCTTCTCCAATCCATTCTCAACAGAATTGCCAAACTGATATTCCTAGAGCATCCCCGACCATATCACTTTCCTCCTTAAGGATACTCTGTGGTTCTTTATTGTCTTTAGGAAAAGAAATGGACTTCTCCACTTGTCATTTAGAGCCCTTCACATTTGGTTCCAGCCTGGCTTTCTTGGCTTGTTTCTCGGCTTCTTCCCCTTTATTTCTCTATTCTTCAACCTAATGGACCTGCTTTCTACTCCCTAAGATAAGAATTCCATTTCCTTCCCCTACATACTTCTACACAAGTTTTCCTCCATACCTTCTACTTTAGCATCCTTACGGTTGATAATAAAGCAAAAAACCTCAGTTATTGGAATCTATCTGTCCTTGTTTGTTTGTTTTTGGTAAAGCAATTGGGGTTATTTGACCATGGTCACACAGCTAGTAAATGTCAAGTGTCTTAGGCTGGATTTGAACTCAGGTCTTCCTGACTCCAGGGCCAGTGCTCTATCCACTGCTCCACCTAGCTGCCCCTATTTAGAAACTGTCTCAACCAGCACACATGGCTTCCTTGCCCAGCTTGGCATGAGATCCGGCTAAGCCAGATAACCCCAAGTGTATCTATGTATACGTAAAAATGGAAAATGGGCAACCAACTTCCCAGAATTTGGACATTTGACTTGGAAGTGGTATTGCCTTGGGTACCCTTCCTCCTGTTCATCTATTCTCTTACTGGTTCTTGACCTATTCTGAGGAGATATTGAAGAGTCATTGGAAATGAAAAGTTCTGGATTATAGTCCTAGCTTTGGACTGAAAGGTCAGATACTGAAGTTGAAGCTTAAATACTTTGGCCACATAATGAGAAGACGGGACTCATTGGAAAAGACCCTGATGTTGGGAAAAATTGAAGGCAAAAGGAGAAGGGGATGGCAGAGGATGAGATGGATGTATAGTGTTATGGAAACAATGAACATGAACTTGGACAGACTTTGAGAGGCAGTGGAGGATAGAAGGGCCTGTCATGCTATGGTCCATGAGGTCACAAACAGTCAAATGCAACTGAACAACTGAACAATAAGAACAACAAAGTCCTAGCTTTGACACTTACTGTATGAGCATGGGCAAGTCACTAAACATCTTTGAGTCTAATTTTCTTCATATGTAATATAGTGATACTAATATTTGCCTTTTCTTACAAAGTGCTTTTTTTTTAAAGGAAAGTTTTCTAAAACTTACACTGCTAATATTCATGATACTGCAAGGCATATAAAAGAGAATGTTTCATGTATGACTACACACATTATTTTGAGATGTTTTGGAAGGTAGACTGGGAGCAGAGAATAGTGAGGCAGAAGCAGATATTTCATTACAAACCATGCTATGCAACAGTATAAAATCGTTGAAAAGAATTTGATCTTGAAGAAGTCAGAATTTCATTTTGGTCATTCAGTAAATTTCCTGTTTCTCCTGAGGTTTTTCTTCTTTAGGCAGGCCCCTCTCAAGACTCTCCACTTTAGACAGTTTACAATTTTGAAGAGCTGGGTTTGAGTTCTAGCTTATTAGTTGTGTGACCATGGGCAAAGTGCTAAATTGACTTGATTATCAGTTTCATCATCTGTAAACTGGGGGAGTAATATTTATGCTACTTATGTTCATAAGATTGTTGTGAGGATAAACTCAGATTAACTCATATAAAAGTGCTTTGCAATTAGAAAACACAATACAAACAAATGAGCAGTTGTTACTACCTAAATGCTTTAAGATATATGGAGCTTTAATATGTGACCTGGGGCTCTCAAAGGCCATGGCACAGGAGTTCAAACACTAGTAGGTCTTCCCAAGCTGGAAAGGACCTGCCTGGTGGCAGACTCTGTGTCCGTCATCTGAGAACCAGACTAGTAAATTGTGGAGAGGATTACCATCAGAAGGTTGGATACCAAGTGATGAAGTGATTTGGCTACAAAAACTCGTGAAACCAAATCTCCTCAGACATTGAAGGGCTGTACCCACACTGATGAAACCACAGATCCCTTAAGAATTGATGTCATTTTGTAACTTTAATAAAAGTGCTTTTCATTCAATAGTCTTTCAAAGACAGTGATTGTCTGTTCTTATAACCCATGTTTAATTAATTTATCAAGAAAATTTAGGATGAGATGAAGCCCAGGGAAAAGTGATTAAGTTTAGGACAAATAAAGTCTTGTTTCACACAGGATGTCATGCACTTTTGGGACTCATTGCTCCAAAAGTAGTACTGCAGAAAATTCAAATGCATTAAAATTTATTTGTAGATTGGAAGTGTTGTTTAGTGAAAGGAATATGGGACTTAAGAGTCCAAAGACTTTGGTTTAAATACCATCCTTCACATTTACTATCCATGTGATCATGTTTTCTAAACCTCAGTTTCCTTTTCTGTAAAATGGAGATAATAACTCTTGTCTATATACATCCCAGCATTGTTATAGGAAGAGCACTTTAGAGAATATAACTATTATTATTTGGACCAGACCTGTTATTTCAGTACTACTGGGATTCTAGTTGAGTAGACTCCCTCTACCAATAAAGGTCAACACTTGCTTTGCAAAGTTGTGCCTTGCAGAATTGCCTGGGGGCACTGAGAGTTTTAAGTGACTTGCTTAGGGTCACACAGTAGCAGGACCAAAATGCTGATGTGACTTCAAAGCTGGCTCACTCTGCACTTCTATATTTTGCTTCTCCATGACTATTATTAGGGTTTAGATAAACTTCTGAAGGGCAGAACTATCCCATGACTACTAAAAGAAGCTGGGAGTACACCTAATCTTTGAGCATGAGAGCAGGGAGAACAACCATGCCCTGATAGATCATCTCTCCTGGAACTTATGATGGCAAGAGAACCCTGGACAGAATAGCCCATAACTCAATTCAATCTCTATGATGTTTGTCATGTTCTAAAGCAGAGGCATCAAACACGAGGTCTGTGGACCACATCAGTTGGAAACATCCCTGGTTGCAGCCCAAACCAGATTAAAATGCAATTGGCAAATATTTGACAAAATAAATAAAAATGTAATAAAACAGAGATAATATTACATCTTAAAACAAAGTCAATATGTGGTCATTAAGGATCCTTATGTGTGGATAAATAACCCCTGTTTCTATTTGAGTTTGACTCCACTGTTCTAAACCATGGAATTTCCCACTGTGTATATCAAGCTACCCCTATATGAACAGAGAGAGAGAGAGAGAGAGAAAATGATCTCCAGTGTGCTATCCCCAGACGGAGTATGGGTCAATCAATTAGCAAGCATTGATTAGGTGCTAGCTATGTGCTAAACACTAGAGATAAAAGAAAGGCTTGAACAGTCTGCCATTAAGGGCCTTACATTCTGGTGGAGGAGACAGTATATAAATTATTCATGATATATACCGAATAGATGAAAGGTACCCTTAGAAGGGGAAGGGTAGAGCTGCCTGAGAAGAGGGATAACAAGTCATTATAAACTGGCTTAGGACATGGAGAGGGCTTAAATGGAGCCTGAGCTAGAGGAAAAAATTTGACTCAGGGTGACAGATGAGGGCCAGGGCACAGTATGTTCATAATGTTGTGGCCTCAACCACTGATATGATTGATGGGCCTTGTTACCTGATGTATTGGAATGACGAGGAAGGCACCCCCTCCAGCACATTCTGTCACGACGGCAATGAAGTGGGGGTTAACAGCACAGAAGTGGTTATCATGGACGCTCCTGGTGATGGGCACACAGTCATAGCAGTTCTCTTTGCTGGCGGGTTTGCCAAAGACATGGCGGAACTTTGAGCTTCGATACTGAGGGTGCCATGACATCTGCCAGAGAAGGAAGACCAAATGAAAATCTCATGTGGACTCTTTTTTTTAAATGCAGTGGCACAGATAGAAAGAGAGATTCCATTTAAAATAACTGAAGACAATATAAAATACTTGGGAGTCTACCTGTCAAGACAAACCCAGGAACTATATGAATACAATTACAAGATACTTTTAACATAATAAAGACAGATCTAAATGATTGGAGAAATATTAATTGTTCATGGGTAGGCTGAGCCAATATAATAAAAATGACAATTCTGCCTATATTAATTTACTTATTCAATGCCATACTAATCAAACTATCAAAGAATTATAGAGCTAGAAAGAATAATAACAAGATTCATCTGGAAGAACAAAAGGTCAAGAATATCAAGAGAATCAATGAAAAAAATGCGAAGGAAGGTGACCTAGCCATAGTAATCTAGTGTTTGATAAATGCAAACATCCAAGCTTTTGGGACAAGAACTCAACATCTGTCAAAAATTGCTGGGAAAACTGGAAAGCAGGTTGGCAGAAAATAGGCATAGATCAACATCTCATACTGTATACCAAGATAAGGTCAAAATGGATAAATGAAATAGACATAAAGGGTGATATCATAAGCAAATTAGAGGAGCATGGAATTGTTTACCTGTCAGATCTATGTAGAAGGGAAGAATTTATGACCAAACAAGAGACAGAAAATATTATAGGATGCAAAATGGACAATTTTGATTACATCCAATTAAAAAGTCTTTGCACCAAAAATCCCAATGTAGTCAAGATTAGAAGGAAAGCAAAAAAAAACAACAAAAAAAAAAACGAAAAAAAAACTAGGAAAACATTTTTACAGCAAGTTTCTCTGATAAAGGTCTCATTTCTCAAATATATAGAGAACTGAGTCAAATTTATAAGTATACAAGTCATTCCCCAATTTATAAATGGTCAAAGGATATAAACAGGTAGTTTTCAGAAGAAGAAATCAAAGCTATCTATAGTCATAGAAAATATGTTCTAAATCACTGCTGATTAGAGAAATACAAATTAAAACAATGCTGAGGTACCACCTCACACCTATCAGATTGGCTAATATGACAGAAAAGAAAAATGATAAATGTTGGAGGGGATGTGGCAAAATTGGGACACTGATGCATTGTTGATGGAGTTGTGAAATGATCCAATCATTTTGAAAAGAAATTTGGAACTATGCCCAAAGGACTATAAATTGTGCATACCCTTTGACCCAGCAATACCACTAGTAGGTCTGTATACCAAAGAAATCAAAGGAAAAGAAAAGGACCTATATATACAGAAATATTTATAGCAGCTGTCTTAGGAAATTGAGGGGCTGCCCATCAACTGGGGAATGGCTGAACAAATTGTGGTATATGATTATGATGGAATACTATTGTGCTATAAGAAATAATGAGCAGAGGCAGCTAGGCGGCGCAGTGGATAGAGCTCCGGCCTTGGAGTCAGGAGGACCTGAGTTCAAATGTGGCTCCGGACATTTGACACTTACTAGATGTGTGACCTCAGGCAAGTCACTTAGCCCTGACTGCCTCACCAGAAAGCAAGAAAAAAAAAAAGAAAAAAAAAAGAAATAATGAACAGGATGCTTTCAGAAAAACCTGAAAAGATTTACATGAACTGATGTAAAGTGAAGTGAACAGAACCAGAGCAAAGCATACTTTTTTAAACTTTATTTTTCTTGCTGTTGTTGGTTTTGTTTTTTGTTTGTTTTTGGTCTGTGTTTTCTTTTGCAATGTGGCTAATGAAATGTTTTACATGACTGCACATATATAATCTGTATCCAGTTGATGAGTAGTTGAGCAGAGCAGCAATAGTAGATAGCTTGATGGACTTGGAGTAAAGACCTAAATTCAAATCCCACCTCTAACACTTAACAGCTGTGTGACCATGGACAAGTAACTCAATTTCTTTGATCCTCAGTTTCCTTATTTGTCAATTAGGATAATAATACCTGCAGCTCCTATTTCTCAGGGTTGCTGGGAGTCTCATATGTGATAATGGTTATAAAATACTTCATAAACTTTAAGTGCTCCAAATAACTATATTTATTAATATTACTATTAATAACCTTATTAATAGTAACAATAACAACAATTATGCTTGCATTTGCTTATTTTTCCTCTGTTTTGGAGCACTATACATCTGAATAGGAGAGGACAGAGGGAAATTGATTACCATTATTTAAACAATCAACATTGAAAGGAGGGGGCAAATCTAAGAGACATTTTCAAAAAGATGATAAAGAAGAAGAGATAAAGGATGGAGAAGAGTTAAAAAATGATTTAAAGGTTTGTATCTGAAAAAAAAGGAAAATGGTCACCTAATTAGTGGAAATGGGAGGAAAAAACAATCTTAGGAGTTTTTGTTTTGTATCTATAGGACTTGTAGGTACCTGGCTGGCAGAACAAAAGACTTATATAGTTACAGCTCATTTCTCTTCTCTTCTTGTTGCCTGGCAGGTAAACCACACACAGTTAGGTGCTTTCATTAAAAGTTCTGGACAATGCCAGAGAAAGCATTCATAGGATAGAATTATTCTCTATAAGCAGTCAAACACTCTTTATATAGACCATTTACTGGGGACATAGAAATGGCTTTGCTCCATAGAAACTTTCTTTTGTAATGATGTTTGCTACAATGTTTTACCTGTTATAGTAATAATTGCCATCAATAAGAGCATGCCAGGCTTAACATTTGGTCCAGATCCTGTCCTTGAATGGAGGCCAAAGCTCTCTGCTGACATTATCTCATGTGTATTCAATACTTCCTTGGCCAGATAAGTAGGACATGAGTCTTATTTAACTCTGTAGGACACGGTGTTGATGTTTTATTAGTAAGTGATTGTTTATGGACTGTATTCTCCTATGACAAGGCATTTCCTGTATGCAATTGAGACCCTTATTAAGGAAAATGTACACATGCACTTTTTTGTGTGTGACTACCACTCAACTTCCTCTAAAAAACACTCTTATGTCATCTAGTAACAGTTCTTTTACTCCTAACCAAAGACTACAATGCAACAGACAATGGAAAGGTTGGGCATGTTTTTGAAATGCTCTTTCTATTTTAAAAAATGCTCTGAGCAGTATCATTCTGACCCCAGGATTAATAAAATTCAGAGTCAATTCTGGTATAGCCTCTTCCCTGAAATTTACACCTATCCCCACCATATTGTGTCACTCAAGAAAAATCTATTGAACACTACGTAATAGGGGCTATGATAGGTGCTGGCGACACAAAGACAAAAATAAAATAATGCTTGCCCTCAAGGACCTGGTATTCCACTCCACTTGGTCTCACTTCTGAGATCAGGAGGATATCCACTAGCTAGAACCAACTCTGGTGTTGTTTCCTTCTAGATGAAGTGAACTTGGAATGTATGTGGCTTCAAATGGAGTTAGCTGCCATGGTTTCTACTCGGTCACACTAGGCTTAACTTCCCACATGCTCAAACAGGTCTGCTCCCAGTGAGTTGTTCTGGGTTACACCTATTTTCCCATGCCTTTGATGGCACCCTTTGCGTCATTAATACCTACTGGTTCTGAGTATGAGTTTGACTATTACAGGCAAATCCAAGAAGTAATTCTTCTACTGGCTTCTCAATATGCTTTAAACTACAACAGGAAGAAAGGCCAATTCTTATGTTATTTCCATTCTCAGCCAACTTCCTAAATATTAGACATGTGCGAAAGACTACCCTAGTTGACGACACCTTCCAGATTTTCAGAATAAATGGTTTCAGAAGTTCAATAACAAAACTGGATTCAACATTTATTAAGTGAAAAAAGCATTGTTGCTTTCAACAACAGCCAAACCCTTTGATATGTAATGGCCCAAAACCTGCTCATTAAGAAAAATTCCTAGGATCCATGCAATTTTGTTTCATAGCCTCCTGGATAAAGACATGGATGCTGACTGGAGCAAAATCATTTTGGATGAGTGGAGCAAATGGCAGATTCATCTCCCCTCTGCAGTTATGTTTGGCTCTCCTTCAGAATAGGCAGCTGTCATTCAAGCTGATGTCATTTTTTTTTTGTAACCCTGACAACATTTTCAGATCCAAGGGGTTAAATCATATTTACAAAGCAATGGGTTAGTCTGAGGCTGACTTTGTCTTAAGACTCCCAGAAATGCATGATTATTTTTTGGAGAGCTTGCATGGTTACTGTCTGGACAAGCAATCAGGTTGCCTGAGGCAAGTAACTGAAATACTCAAAAGGCAGTGCTGTAGCAAGCTCCACTCAGAGCTCCCTGGGCAACACACCTATTGGTACTTTAATTTGAAACATGACCTCATTCGTTTCCATTAAGTTTTCCCCACTGGCCACATGGCAAGTATATGGTGTAGCAAGAATGCTGGACCTTGTTGTCAGGAAAGACCAGTGTTTAAACCTCGTATTTCACACTAGCAATATGACTAGGGCCAAGACATGGGATCATAGAATCAACTTTAGAGTTGGGAAGAACTAGAAATGAGTCCAACTCCTTCATTTTAGAGATGAGGTAAAGGAGACCCTTTAAAAAGGTTAAGTGACTTGCCCAAGGTCACACAAATGAGACATGACAGAATCACATGAGTAAGGACCAAACTCAGATCTCCCATAGCTCCAAAGCAGGGATTCTTTTTTTTTCCCCTTTAATTAATTGATTGATTTTTAGTTTTCAACATTCACTTTTATAAGATTTTGACAAAGCAGGGATTCTTAACCTGGCATATGTGCCCCTCCCTTTTAAAAATATTTTGATAACTATGTTTCAATAGAATTGGTTTCCTTTGTAATACTACATATTTTATGTTAAGCATTTAACATCATTATTCTGAGAATAGGGTCCATGGGCTTCACCAGACTGCCAAAGAGGTACTCGATCCCCTCCCCCCCACCCAAACCTTAAAATCCCCTGCTGAAAAGGTAGCACTTTTTCCACTACACCATGCTGATTCTCACTTAGCCTCTCTGAGCCTCAGTTTCTTTATTTATAAAATG